ATTTTGTTTTGTTCTCTGTAAGAATGGTGGAATAGCGTGGGCCATTTTGTAAAATGACAGCCACATTGGATGAGATGATTCATGATAAGAGTATACAGTGGAGAAGAGTGAAATTGCCTTTCAGCCATCGAAGCCAAAGTGGGGCAGCAATCTGAGGGTAGGGAACATCGTTCTTCATAGGTAAGCGATGATGATGGTCAAAGGAACATTTTGCTAAATAAGCGCTGGATACTTTCCAAACGATTCTATCTGTTTTACGTAAGTGGCTATGCATGATAGTGGGTCATACAATGAGTTCGAATGATTCAAGCCGTGTTTGGGATAATGAATATGACCTAGTGGTGTAGTTTGTTAAACGTTTCGCTTTCGCTACTTGATGTAGGATGTTCAAAGAAGCAGTAGCTTCGGAAGTATCGAATTCCCCGAGATGGAAAGGAAAACGCAGCCGCGAAGGGGGTACTAGTAAGAGTGATGAATCCTTCTGCTATACTGCATCTAATACAGAGTATCTGAGATTTATCTGCAGATAACCTCATTGACATACATGCATTCGCCCCATTTGTTTAGGGATGATAGATCTCCGAGTAGATTATTAAGCATAGCTTCCGATGGTCAGTGGAAATGTGTAAGCTGGTTCGATATCTTCCGCAAAGATAAATTGACGTCTGTGCCTATCATATATATATATATATATATATATATATATATATATATATATATGTATATATATATATATATATATATATATATATATAGTCTATGTATAACGTGATCACGGTGTCAATAGTGTGCTTGTCCTCGCCCAGTCAATTCAAATAATACTAATCCACTTGCCAATTTTGTAATTAGTCTTGTGGAATTATCATTGTAAGTACTATTGGTATAACGTTTTGATTCGTTCTCCGAGCTGAGTAATTTAATGTCAAACGTTTCACCACTTCCCTCAGTGGCATCTTCAGTGTACAGCTCCGTGAGATTTTCTTCTACGGAGCTGTACACTGAAGATGCCACTGAGGGAAGTGGTGAAACGTTTGACATTAAATTACTCAGCTCGGAGAACGAATCAAAACGTTAATTACGAACCCGAGCTACAGGTATTCCGAGTCATTACTATTGGTACAATTTTAGTGGTGTGCCAAGGCGGGCTGATCCACCGCTACTCGGTGCACGGAGTACAGGCCGCAAACGGAAGCAAAAACGCAGCGCGCGCCGCATCCGAGACTCCTGAAACAGCGCATCACTAATCAAGCAAGTAAAAGACATCGTGCGTTTCAGACGCAAACCGAGACAGAGGAGGAAGTGTCTATTGCAACAAAATCGATTGGCTACTGTGTAGCATGTGGGAAATTAGTTTAGATAACCCGTGTAGAAGAGTGCAGAACCACAACTATCACCAGAACGGATGTATATAGGTGACAGGATCACAAACTGTCATATTTTAACCCACCCTTTATTAATGCACATGGTTTAGGGTTCGATCAATCGCACATCACCACCCACGTAGATCGCGGCTATGTAAAGCATCGAGTTAGTGAACTGTTATCACGTGCCTATGCAGTCAATGGGGAAGAAACAACTGACCCGAGCTTCTCCGCTGATCACTAAATCCTAGTGAATGTTGAGCAACTTTCGGATCAGATTTACAAACCTACGCACCACCACTACACCATTGTGTGTGCGCCGTTGTAGCAATATGCTTTCCGATTCCCGCCGTTACGACGAGCTTTGCCTGTCTTGCTTTATGGGGACAACATCGTATGTGAAGCGAAGTTGACAGTGCGACCTGTTTTCGATTGATCGATAGAAAATGGTCAAGCCAGAGGGAAAATAAGGGGTTGCAACAGCATCTAATGCTGAACAGGCAGCTGGCTTACCTACCAATGATCGTTTAACCTATACTATAAGGGTGTGTGAATTAAAAACATGAATACTGTCATCGAATTTGAAAGATGGTAAAACTAGGAAATAATTGCATAATGAACATGTGCGGTGGAGTTTTGGCCTACAGGAGAATGAACAGAGGTGATGACGCTGTCACATTAACCGATAAGCCATAGGAGAGACTCAGGGTGCGGTTAATGGTAACAGAGTGGTAAGGCGCCCATCCTCCGCTTAAAAGTTACACGTGAAAGGTCAGTCGACTGCTATCTCATCCAGAGTTAAAAGGGATCTGTCGACAAAATAAAGCACTGGATTGCAGTGGTAATCTTCAGTCCATTGCAGAGAGGATCACCCATGAAACCGAGAGGCGGAAAGAGTCAAAGAAGCTCCGAAGTACCAGAATAATAGGAAGGTTTCACAGAGATAATTTGGGAACGCGAAGGTCAAGTGGGACTCATATAATATACATTCGACTATGGAAATGGCATTTTTGGGAAGCAGAGAAATAGAAAATTTCATTAAATCACCCTTACTGCTGATGCCTACACATGAGAGGATGCAGCAACGTCTTGCGAGCGCTCAGCTAGAATGCAGAGCTAGGCGGCTGAGTAATTGTTTTCGCGTCAGAGATGTGGCTGCCGTGTGCATTGACAGTAGCGGTTCCTAAGGTAGTTGAGGAAGCACATACATCGAGAGAACTGTCCAGGTTGATATAACAATCCAGATGAACGTACAGAGAAAGCGTTTATGGGGACGAGACAATGGAATGACCGCACAGAGGGACCAAAACGAAACAATAAGAAAACCGCATAGTCTGTAGGGTGAAGCATGAGCTAGAGTAATATTCGCGTCACGGATATGATTCAGCGTGTTTCTAAGATCCCCGCTAATGACTAGTGATGGAAGGCTCAGCTATTTAACGTGAGACCGATCCAGCATTGACTACATGCGGCGATCTCGTAGTATCCCAACCCAAAGGCAATTGGCGGTGGCCGCACAGCAGAAAAGTGTCGTAACGAGATCCCGATGTTCTGCTGGTATGCCCTTAAAAGTGAATGTTACCTTAAGACAAATCACTTCCCTATAGTCTTGCCATTAAGGGTTAGATGTGGGTTTGGTAGCGGCCGCATCATGCGCCACTTCGTTTCAAAGCGTGCAAAAATGACTGCAATCGCATTGAAACAGAAGCCGTAGTGAACTGCGGAAAAATACTCGCTGACCGACTGGCCATCGGAGTCAGTTCGGTGGGAATGATAGGTGCTGTTAATGGCAAGATAGATATCGTCAAGCCGGATTCGGGGAGGACGTTGATTTCACAGTGATGTACATCCTACTCCAGGATTTCACTTCCACGTGGATTTGGTCTATATTAAATGGTACCAATCTGAACCGTAATAGTCAAAGTATACACTCGGCCGCTGTAAGATGTAGGTCCAGATATAGCACGTGGGAGCTGCATTCTTAAGATACAAAGAATAAATCCCATGTAGGAGGAGCTGCAACGCTGCGATCATCCCGGGATGCGGAAAAGTGCCAGGATCGGCGGCACTAAAAAGTGAATGTCCCAGAGGGGCATTGGTTTCCGTGACATCAGCGCGGCCAACCGACGGAATCACTCGTGCATTAATCTGCAAAAAAACATACGGTGAATTGGGCATACAAAAGTGCAACAACTGCGCGTGCGATATTGTGATGCAGATACAGAGGACCCGTCAGGAGGAAGATTGGTTCGTCCAAATTATGCATGTGACATACAGCCCTGCTGTTTGACAATAAGACGCAGCAGATAAGCTTAGATCAAGTGTATGGGGCAACCAAATCCGTTAGTAAGACGATGTTCCAGTGCTATCGAGGTCACTGTGCTGAGGTTTCAGAGAGACCGTAAGTAACACCAAATCCGAGAGTGCAAAACTACACCGAGTACCGCCTGCTGGTCGGTCTAACACAGGAAGTCGAATGGCGCCCTAGGTTTGAGAAATGATGCGATTTCGGCGCCATCGATGAAGAGGAGAGTCATTGGCCCGTGTGGAATGAGCGGTTCTGAAAGCAGATGGAAGGTGTCGGCAGTCTAGTTCGACAGATCACTTATGTAAACTTATGTAAACCTCGACAGAAGTAGTCTGATAGCCATAAAACAAATCCCAGTAGATGGACCGTAACGAGTGCGTCGAAACCGAGACAGAAAAAAGAAGCGACAGACTTGGAGAAGGAACAGCACGGCAAAGTGAACATCGGATTAGATAAATGAGATACGACATAAGATATGAACAACAAGGTTGTACAATTCTTCAAGAACCATGAGGCAATGCGGAGGGACGAGGTGGAACAGTTGAAGTTTAGCGAGTTCAAATACTGGGGAGAGAATTGGTAGTTGTACAAGCAGATTCCGCAGTGATAGTTACTTTGAGACTAAAATAATTAAAATCCATCATAAATGCTGCGGCCCATGAAGGATCCGCGTTGTCCCCGAAAGTTGGTATGGCGATTAGCAGTAGAATTTGCCGCAAGCTAAATGGTGCTCGCTTTGTTGTAAGATGAGTGCTCAACTATTAAAAAACACGCCTCAGAGTGAATTAAGGGAAGGCAAGCAGGCAAGTGTTTTGATTACAAGCATAAGTATGATAACAATTGCACTACTGGCTCTCCAGTCATGAGGGAACTCGCGCTGCGATGAGCTTTCAACTAGCTTAGCTGTTCATGGATCCACAAGTGTTGAAGCCTAGACGATGTATGGAACCGGGAGAGCAGCAACTCGTGAGTTGGTTAGATGACTAACAAGAATTTTGCCTGTACTTCAAAAGGTCCCAGCTAAGACTATGAAACCACAAATGTTTCCGTGCGTTTGCTGTTGCACAGACTGGGAAATCGAAAAACTCAGTTTCATGCAAATGTGACCAGCAAAACCGTGCAGCGGCGTCTGAGAGTTATCGGTTCCCTGATGACATTTACTACTTCGACTAGGGATTGGAGGATAGGCCAAAAACACGTAAATCTAATTCAAGGAGGAAGGGTTTTTTAAAAATCCCGGAGTACAGTATCAGTGCGAACAAAGGACAGCATTTTGTAGTGAGCAACATATGACTGTATTTGGATGTATAATAGGCATACCATACACTTACCGGTCTTATTGACGGAGGATTCCCATGACGACCAACTAGACTGCTTCTTATATTAGTTCCGACGGACCAGCTGAAACAATATGAATGCAATTCTTAAACACGTCAAAAACGTTGGCTATAAAGTGGAAATAACTGCATTTAGATACAAGATGACTCAGAGTAACAAGAGGCCGCAGCATACGGATGTAACACGGTTTCGAAACGCCTATCATCGGGACGCGGGTTGCTACCCGACCGGCTTTACCAGGGCTGAGTCACGCCGGAAGCTGATGAAATCCATTCGTCAACACATGGGATGTTACCCAAACGGCGGTAACACGGCTAAGGTACGCGGGAAGCTGAGGGAATCAAAACCGTCAGCATGAAACAGGTTGCTACGTGACAGGTCGCAAGCAGGATTGAAATCTATCCAGGGCAAGTGGCTTGAGTCAGCCCAGGAACTTACAACAATAGATTGTGACCTATATGATGAACCGTGTTCTGTGTCTAATATACTTCGGTCTGACAGGTTTGGGTGTTCTGTTTTCATCTCCGGCTGGGCAGAGCAGTTACTCAGAGAGCAGAGGCGAGATCAGCGTTACAACAGTGTCGACGCGAGTTTTAATTAAACCCATAAATGGCTTCTAACAAATTGCAGGCTCTTTGGCAGCAGCAAGCCAAGCTCATTGAGATGTTGACGCAGAAGCTGTCGATACAGTCAAATCCAGCGTTATGGGCAAGTAAAAGTGTCCCCTTTCCAGAAACACTAACACAGTAGATCAGTGAATTCTGTTATGATGCGGATGCTGGCGTGACATTCGCTGCCTGGTTTCACAAGTATGAAGACATATTTCGTGTTGATTTCGCAAATGGACCAGAAGAGAACACAATTCGCCTGATGCTCCGGAAGCTGGGTGGGGCTGAACGAGGCACTGCGAACCAGGCCCCTGAAGCCGCACTGATGATGTTGCCTAGTCAGGCAACGAAACGTCTGCAAAATAATTACCCAGCTCGGAGAACTGCTCAAAATCCGCATCCACACCCCGAACTACAGATATTCTCATTTATTTCAAAACAAATTACATCTCGCCAAAGACGAGAACTGACCTATTCCTGGACGAAATGGTCTTAGTTCTGTCACAAATTTTTGATGAGCAGACATCCTTTTCAACATCCGGTACAAGTGCCTTACGATGGCCAAGAAAAATGACGAAGATTGGGTCACCTACCTACTCGAGCCGTGTAAATCGCGAGTGCGAACGTTCACAGTTTCACAAAATGACCGCGGACCATTAACGTTTGCGGCCTGCAAGCAGCTAAAGATGCAGACATACAAATAAGTAAAAATGAACAGAATCCTGACATCACATTGCAGCAAGTGACTGGTGAGTGCTAGAGAATGACGAACCCGAAGTATGATACATCAATGATTCAGTAGTTGTCAAATGCCCACGAGCATGACCTCAGTAGTGCAGTGAACCGGATTCCCCAAAAAGCATCAACTCACGTGAGTCCAGCACATTTCAAACTTCCCTCTCCTTATTGGTTTTTGTAGAGAATGGCATTTTGCTCGACACTGTCCATTTAAGAATCACATTTGAAACCGATGTGGAAGGAAATATCGTAAAAAGTCGTGTTGTTTGGCAGATGGTCCTAGTTTGTCCAGAAAGAAGCGCAACAATGCCATATCGTTCAGACGGCCCAATGGGATCAGAATGATCACTGCGACTTTCAAGGTTGATGGCGTCAACAGGCGTAAGTACACCATGGTAGAAATCAGTGGCAGACAAGGCAAGTCACAACTTGATACGGTTTCAGATATCACTCTAATCTCTAGCGACACGTGTCGCAGGTTGGGGTGGTCGACACTTGTACAAACGACTTATACGGTAAGGAATGCTTCAGGTGGTACTTTAAAATTGCTTGGAGAATTGAACTGTCGAGTCAATTTTCGAGGTCAACAAATGTACACAACGTGCTTTGTAACAGACCAACCGGGGTTAGATTTGCCGGGACTCGATTGGATGGACGTTGAACTTGCACGACCAGTCGATAAACAGTATATACCAGCAGTTGCAAGTCAAGCAAGCTACGCAGGTGACAACGACGAACCTTGAATTACGAAATCAAATTGCAGATCTGAAGCGACGTCATGAAACGTTGTTCAAACCCGGTCTCGGATGCTGTCACTTAGGCAGGGCGGAGTTGAACCTCAAATCAGATTTGTTCTCCAAACTCAACAGTGGCAAATGCTTCGCAAAACTTGACCTAGCTGACGCTTACTTGCAAGTTCCAGTTGCAGAGGAGTGCAGAAGATTACTAACGGTTAATATGAACCTCGGGCTTTTCCAGTACAACCGGTTGCCATTTGGGGTGAAAACCGTACCGACCATTTTCCAGCACATTATGGATACCCTGCTGAACGATATGCTCAATACCGTGGTCCACCTGGATGATGCATTGATTATGGCTGCAGACCCGCAAGACTTGATGCACACACTGGAGAGAGTGCTTTAACGTTTGGAAGACGCTGGATTTCGAGTACGGACTGAGAAATGTGAGCTCATGTTAGATAGTGTTAAATTCCTCGGGTTTATCATAGACCAACATGGCCGGCGCCCAGATCGCGCCAATATGGAAGCTATCAAACAGATGGAACCGCCGAAGGACGTCGCAGAGCACCGCTCATTGTTCGGTCTCGTGAGTCATTACGGTGTTTTCCTACCAAGCCTACATCAAACCAGAGGTCCGCTGAACCAGTTGCTGACGAAAGATAACGTTTGGCAATGGACGATGGAATGCCAGCAGTCCTTTGACGCAGGTAAAGTAGCACTCACTTCTGATCTACTATTGAATCATTTTAATACGAACTTGGAAGCCATCGTTGCCTCGGACGCTTCCAATTACGGTATCCGGTCCGTCATTTCCCACCTTTTCCGAACGGAGAGGCCTGTTGCACATTCAGTACGGCTCCTAACGTCAGCTGAGAACTGTAGTTAGATTGAAAAGGAGGCACTTGCAATCGTTTTCGCCATGAAGCGGTTCCACAAGATGCTCTATGGCAGGCATTCCACGCCCCTGACTGATCATAAGCCATTGCTGTCGATATTCGGCTCAAAGAAAGAAATTCCCGTTTTTACCGCGAATCGGTTACAAAGAAGGGCGACTATGCTGTTAACGTATGATTTCAGTATACAGTATCGACTTACGCAACAAATGGGCCAAGCGGATGCCTTGTCTCGTCTCATCAATTCACACCCAAAGGAGAACGATAATTGTGTGATCGCAGCCATCAAGTTCGAATCAGAAGTCCAGCAAATCTTAACCGATAATGTCAGATTACCAGTAACAGCTGACACCATTCGCGCGGAGACTTCCCGAGACAGAACCCTAGAGAAAGTGATGCAGTACGTGCAAACAGGTTAGCCAAAAGGTGGTATCCCTGATGACTTGCGGCCTTTCTTCAATCAACGTGAGTCGCTGTCCGTTGTGGACAATTGTTCGATGTTTGGAGACCGGGTGGTGATGCCAAAGAAATTGAACAGGCAAGTCTTACAGCAGTTTCATACCGGGCATCCAGGTACCAACCGTATGAAAGCCTAGGCACGCAGTTTGCTTATTGGCCCGAAATGGATTCAGAAATCGAACAATTTTGCCAAAAACATGAATCCTGTTAACTGGCGGGGAAGGCCCTTTCCAAGTGCCCCTGGCAACCTTGGCCCAAAGCAGAGAAGCCATGGCAGCGAATCCACTTAGATTATGCGGGACCAATCGCCGGTCAATCCTATCTTGTTTTGGTTGACTCTTTCTCCAAGTGGCCTGATGTGATCCCGATGCAAAGTACGACTGCCCAGTAAACGATCAACGAGCTGGGTAAGCTGTTTTAGTATTTCGGCCTGTCAACAATGATAGTGACAGACAACGGTACACAATTCACTTTAACTCCCTTTCACGAGTGGTTCAAGGAGAAAGGAATTCAGTAGATGTTCTCACTACCCTATCATCCCCAATCAAAGGACAGGCGGAACGGTTAGTGGATACCTTCAAACATACTCTTTGTAAAACGGGACAAAACAAGGTCGCAAAGGACGCGATCCACGTTCCTGTGCATGTATCGGAATGCGTCAAACCCAAACACCACAGATGGAAGAGTCCCTGCCGAAATTTTATTTGGAAGAAAGATCCGGACATTGTTCGATAACCTTGTGCCAAGCAGAAAAGCATTGCAGTTGTCTAGTAGAGGAAAATCTGATAGACAAGCACCGTCATTACAAAACTGGTGACATGGTGTTCGCGGGAGACTTCGGAGGAGCGAAGTTAGCGCTCCAGAGAAACAGATGGTTGTCTTCGCATAATGTGAGAATCTCTGGCGGTTCTCATCGAGCGCTTGGTGACCACCGAGGTGGCGTTCGTATGGTAACAGGCGGCTAACCCTTGCATTAAAAGCCAAAGCAAGGACGACACCCAACTTCTTAGCACTAGTCAAGAGCTGATGTAAATCCCGGTAGAATCCGTTCTTGACCGAGCCGCCACTGCAGTCAGTTGGAGCGTACACGGAGATCACAAACAAGTTGCGTCTCACTTCTCGGCGCTTGTTGATTCTACATGAGTCCCGAAGCCCGAATGCATATAGTCGGCTGTTAATCGGGAACCAGTCCGGTAGTGCCGCCTCGGCCTTGCCACTTAGTGCTATACCTACACCAGCCAAACCCGCTGAGGCTGCTTCTGGATCTCCAGAAAGACGCAAGTGATATCTGGCTTCGTGGTCAGTGGGGGATGTCAATGTAAGCACAGTGCTGGGACCTTGTAACCAGGTTTCAAAAAGGCAGCAGACATCAAATTCGAGGGACTCTAGGGTGCGCCATAGACTGGCTTGCTGTCCAATCTGCATGTGTCCGGACGCTGAAGCACGCCAGACGGAACGAGGATTGGGGAAGAAGGAGACCAAGGAACCACTCCGTGGTTCGCGGCACAACCACAATCGCAGCCAGATTGTTGAACACATGAATCGGATAACGGAAAGTAAGGATTGTTAGCAAACAAACAATTGGCGCGTGATGAAGTCGAGTGAATGTGAAAAGCAGAAACGGT